GGGCCAGCAATCAAACTGCTAAGACCCCACAGCCAATTCTGATGGTCTGGCAACTTCTGACCTCCAGCATAAAATAAAATGCACGCTTCGTGTGGGGAATTAAAGGGCAAACTCCACGAAGCGGCTGGTAGTGAGATCTGTAAGGATCGTGTCTCCAGGCACTTTGGGGGCATGAAGCTCCAACTTCAATGGTGGAAAACAGTGCCCGGCCCTGCGACGTTGGCTTGGGTCTCAAGATTCAAACATGACTCCAAAGAGCTCCTCTCTCCTCTCCCCTCCACCATCCCAAACCATGACCCGGTAACTGTCCGGAATTACTCCAAATTAAGGTTTGGCTTCTGCTGGGGGACGTGTTCATATAATCTGATGCAACTCTAAAGGACCACATTTGCCTTTGGGGGTGTGGATTCAATGTACTCTTTTCCAGCCTCTCTCTCTACTTTCTGCCTCAGCTCTAGATCTTTTCTTCAGTGCTTATACAATTGCCTTTGCTTTTTGCCAGTGAGCTTGATTCATTTTGGAGAGTCCTGACTCTAACTCTCTTCTTTCAGACCCAAACTCCTGGCATGTTGCCTTTTGGTGAAAATGTTTTGTGTCCAAAGTCAAACTACAATTTTTATTATTTCATTCACATTTAGAAAAGCACCGTCTTGCTGATAAAGAATGTGTTCATAAAGGTCATCTGACTTACTCCAAAATGGCAAAGACATCCAGCCCGGAATTCATCAACAAATTCGGGTTCAGGATGCACCTGCTGAGTGTGACTTCAACCAAACATCTTCAGGGTCTCTTGAGAACCTTCCAGTAAACTCACTATCTTCAGAAGCTGTTCTTGGCACTAAGAGCATGGTTGACTATGGAGAACACCAGCTGGGCAGCGCCGTGGCCCGGCTCAGACTCTAACCGCCCACAAAAAAAAAAATTATTGTCAAAGCTGAGGGAACTCACCTCACACCCAAAAGGAGGAATAAACCCCACAAAGCAAAATAGGAAAACACCAAGTTTAAAAAAAAATGAGGCTGTGAAGGCTGCCCTTTGAGAAATCACATATTGCTGGGAGCAGTGGCTCCTACCTATGATCCTAGCTACTCAGGAGGCTGAGATCTGAGGATCGAGGTTCAGCCCAGGCAGAAAAGCGCCGTGAGACTCTTATCTCTGATGAACCACCAGAAAACTGGAAGTGGTGCTCTGGCTCAAAGTGGTAGAGTGCTAGCCCTGAGCAAAAAGAGCTCAGGGATAGCTCCCAGGCCTTGAGTTCAAGCCCCTCGACTGACCAAAAAAAGAAAGGAAAAAGTAACTCTAGTCCTCCGATCATGGTGCCACGCTGTGTGCTGCCTCATCTCCCGAAGGCATCGGGTCACCGCCTCTTCTCTCTCCCTAGACGGGCAACGCCTCCCCCTTCTGCTCATCTAACCCCTCTCGACATGGCTGGAAGACGGCTTCCTTGGAGGGCTCTATCCTGGACGTCCACCCACCCAGCGGGGCCTGGTGTGTCTTCATGTCTTGAAGACGTTTCCTGCCTGTCTGCTGACACTCACTGTTACAGTGGCCTCTGCTCCAAACATAAACACAAATGAGCTCAACCGTGGCTGGGCTTCGGCCCTGGCGAGAGCCGAGCCAGTGAGTCAGTGAGCGAGGCAGACGGGGGGTGGGGGGGGTGGGGAGGGAGCCACGGAGCAGGTTTCCGACTCTAATCCTTTTGTGTTGGCACACTGCTCCCACAGAAGGAGAATGACTCTCCCACCACAAATCTTCAACAAGATGAGGCTGATGGCCACGCTCCTCCACGCTTACTATGCGGGCAAGCCGGCGGTTCAGACCACCCAGCCCTCCACCCCATGTGTCCACACAGGCACCGGAGTATCGGCTTCGGAACTGGGAAATGACAGGTTTTGCACACAATGAGGATCAGGCCAATGTTAGTGGACTCCAAGTTACTGCACTGCGATCTGCTACACTCATTTCGCTATCTAATTTTGGCTTTTGGGGGGAGGGGGAGTACTGTTGAGGGTCTGGTAAGTTACTAGTCATGGGCAAACGCGTTCCCTCCTGTTACCCATTTTAAACTCAGACCTGATCAAGCCACCTCACCCCAAAAGGTGGGCAGTGTTACCACCTCAGTTTACAATCCACATACTCACAGGGCAAAGGCTTGATGACCCTGTAAGCCATGGGCCAAGCCCCTTTTGTGACTGTTGCTTGGTCTGAGAGAGGGTCTCAGCCTGGCCTCAAACTTGAGATCCTCCTGCCTCAACCTCCTGAATAGCTACACTTACAGGCATGCGCTACCACACTCAACTGAGTCTTTTTAAACAAGACGCTAAAGTTCTACTGATATCGTTTGAAAGGATTTGCTTCTATAGGGTTCAATAGGCTTTTCAGAGAGGCTGTTCACACAATGAACGTTTACTAGGCCTGGCTACAGCTAAAGGTCCAAAGCACTGGGCAGGAAGACTTTCTGACTCAATGAACAGGGAGCACACTGGAGGAGACAGACAGAGCCCACAGTGGAAAAAGACAGAACTTCTTATTGCACACCTGTGTGGGGGTGGGGGTGGGGAGCGGCAGGGGACTCATGTACAATCAGCAAGCTGAAAGACAACTTTTTCTTAGGCTTGTGACTTGACAAGTTTTTGTATTACTGTTTTTCACAAAAGCCTGAAATTTTTTAAAAAAGATAATAAGACTTTTGAGTCTCAAATTAAAACAAATAATGTTTCTTAACAGTACAAATGATATGATGAAAGCATCTTTCCACAGGTGATCCAGAATATACAACCTTCCCAGCTGTTGCTTCACTGTGGTCTCTGTGTGGGTACACAAATAAGAGTGGTTTTAAGACACAGAAGACAATAATTCAGTTGTCTAACCTGGAGCTCTTACAGGGTAGAATATGCATCCTCTGAATAGTTCAAAAGAAAAAGTTGTTTGTGTGATCAACTCGGGCACTTGGAAATGTTCCGGAGAACAGAGGGCTTCTGGGAGGGCTGTGAGTGGCTGGTGGGAGTGAGGGGTTCTGGGAGACCAGTGGGATTTCTGGTTTGGCCAATGAGCAGCGACCTGCTCCTTGTGCTGAATAAAAGGTCTCAGGTGTCAGCTGCGAGATTCTCGTCTCTGCTGCCCAACTCTATCCCCCCAAGAAACCACCCAGAGGAGTTTGGTGGCCACCAGCTCCTCTGGCATCACGATATTGAGAGACATGCAGAAGAGCCGTCTGCAGGCGTGAGCACACAAGGCGCAGAGGGAGCCCAGGTCTCCCCCCCTCCTTCTTATTTGTCATTCAGAGCACAGGACGGAACGTGCTTCCACAGAACCGTGGGTCTAGGCAGTGTCGGTGCGGCGCACACGGCCGAAGGGTTGCGCATGCCCCCTGGGGGCGGGAACGAGCCTCAGCAACGGCCCACGGCCGGGCTGCGGTGTGGTTCTGCATGCTGCCACCTCTGGACGAGGTCACAGGGCCACACCCCGCGTCAGGCACCGGCAATCAAACAGCACATATTTGTGGTGGGTAAAGCAACACTGGCTCAGAAAGACACAATGGAGTCCTTGTGACCTGAGCCGTCATCCTCCACATGCAACAGGAAGAACCACAGCACAGAGCCTCCTGGCCGGTCCGAGCCGACTCAGCCACGATCGTGTGGCTCCGGTGTGCGCGCGCATTATCCCCCACACGGCACTGATATCTGAAGGCAGCTGGCTGCGGGGCTGGTGAGCACCAGCTTCCCTACCTGCCCCGGGACGCGGCGCACGCAGGGCCGCAGGCCTGGCGGGTGGTATTACAAAGCGTGTTCTGATCTGAACTGGCGAATCCGCCGTCTCACTGCTCCCCCGGCCCGGATCCACCGCCCGGCTGACAAGGGGCCGTGTGTGTTGCCTACTTTCTACCACAAGAGTGGGGTATTTCAGCATGTCAAAGGAACGGGGTCCCCACCTCAAATATTGGCCAGCACACAGACGCTCTGTCAGGGCTTCCGGTGTGAGTGCAGAGCTGCCGCCTGCACGCAAGCGCCAGGGGCCCGCCCAGGCTCCCTCGGGCATGGAAGGAGGGACCCCGCTCGCACGGATGGCTCAGCTTGGCCAACCATGTCTGAATTTATTGCTAATCTAAGACGCCCTCCTTGTCCTTTGCTCTAACTGCTGACCTGGCCCGACAGCCTGCCTCACGGGTGTATCCGCAGCATCCTCTTTAACTCTTCTGCTTTAATTCTTTATCTTTTGCTCTAAACTGGAGCCAAAAGGGCTGGGGGTATGGCTCAGCAGTGGAGGACCTGTCTAGCAAGCGTGAGGCCCTGGAGATACCCAACAGCACCAAAGAGAAAAGGTAGAGGAGAGAATGCTGTAAGAATCTGATCTCTAATCAGGAAAGACTCAGATATAGAAACTCCAGAGAGCACGTGGCTCAATCTCTTCCTTTTAGGGGAAAGGGAGCCTTGTAATTCAGAAGGGCAATGCTTCCCCAGGGTCATCTCAATGGCATCTCCTCATCCCCAGTCCTGGGACCCCCAGACAGGACCACAGGCTGATGGAATCTGACTCCTCTATCAACAAACCCATGAGTCCAAAAGAAACCAGCACTCAGTTAAGAAAAGAAAAAAATAAGGTAACCGTTACAAGCTCTCTCAAGCACATTTCATAGCAGACATCGAGTTGGTATGTCTGAATGAATGATGCTGGTATGTCTGAATGAATGATGCTGGTATGTCTGAATGAATGATGCTGGTATGTCTGAATGAATGATGCAGACACTGTCTGCACCTTCCCAGGGGCATGACCTGAGTTACAGAACAATTACGTCCTTTCCTTAAAGAGTAAAAAGAAAAAATATCACAGCTTCGAGAGGCTTCTCACAGAAATCCCAAATCGACCTTGCAGTTTTACTAAAGCTAGCGAACACTTCAAACGTGCGTCCTGGAGGTGTGAGTGGTCTGACTTCAAGGCAGTGAGGATCACAGGCTGGGCTTGTATGATTAGGAGCAGGGCAGGGCTGGGGGGGCACTCACCAATGCTAATCTCATCGTCCGTTTCTGCATCACCAATACACTCAAACTGGAAGTCCTGGAGGGACTGGGAAAACTTCTGCACTGCCATCGAGAGATCTACGATAAAAAGAGAAACCCATGAGAAGCAGAGCCTGGGCCGCCCAGGGCTGTCCACGCCGGCGTCGTGGCCGGCCCCAGCGCCACATCCACCCGCATTGCTCTTCATTTCCTCTTTATGAGGGGTATCATGCCCTAAAGGGTTCCGTATGATACCTTCACACACACACACGATGTACCTGTGGTGTCTTCACACACACACCTATGGTGTACCCGTGGTATCTTCACACACCTATGATGTACCTGTGATATCTTCACACGCCTGTGATGTACCCTGATCAAATTCGCCTTTGCTACTGCTCCTTTTTTTCCCTTACCTTCATTGTTAACCAGTTTTAAAGGATTTCATTGTTCTCTTTCCATGAATACATATAAAACACTTTGGTCCTATTATAAATAATATGGCCCTGCTTTTAAAAGACCTTAAAGATGCCACCAAAATAAACTTTAGGGCTGACAAACACTCGTACAATAGGAACCCAACGAACAAAGATCTTCACCTTTTCACGCACCAATAACAAACAGGATGAAGATGAACTCAGGATAGCAACCCAGTCGCCGTAGCCTCAAACAAGCATGTAGGGGTAAACTCAGCTGTGCAGAAGGAAGACCTCCACAGCGAAAGCTTAGAATTGTGAAGCGGAAACTGGAGAACGCAAAGGCAGATGCTGAGCACACAGCTGTGCACCGACAGCCGGCTGAAGACGGGACACACGTAATCCTGTCTGCAGGGACTCTCCTCCCAACCTCAGCAGGGAAAGCGGAACACCAAGATACGCACTGCGCAGCTGCAGGGGTCCAAGCAAGCCGAGGCCAAGACATGAACCTGTTTCAAAAATTACTGGAGCACGAAGGACTAGCAGTACGGCTCAAGTGGTAGAGCACCTGCCTACTACATAAAGGGTCCAGAGTTCAACATCCTCCCTCTGCCAAAAGACATTCAATGCAATCCTCCTCAAAACCACCAGCAACTCTGACAGTCCAGCAAGTTTAAACACAACCTGAAGAGTCTACTACAATTACTTCCAAAACGGAATCGGCCTGGCCCACAAGGCCTGGCTTTGTGTTGCTGATGTCTTGGGATATACCTTTAAGTCAGTAAGCCCAGGAGCCGGGAGGCTGAGGCTAGCCCGGGCTACACAGCGAGACCCTCTGAGGCTAGCCCGGGCTACACAGCGAGACCCTCTGAGGCTAGCCCGGGCTACACAGCGAGA